CATATTTGGAGGCCCTTACGTTGGCGGTGAAACGCGAAACGCCAAAAGAAACTATGCTAGGGAGGCTAAGCACCCCCCTCTGACAAGTTACATTGTAGATAATAGCTCCCGAAGAAACCAAGCACCACCCATTGTCTTCACCCAAGAAGACGCCGAAGGAGTTCATTACCCCCACTGCGATGCGCTGGTAGTAAGGGCGGTCATAGCCCGAAATGGGCTCAAACGAATGCTGGTCGACAACGGCAGCTCCGTCAACATCTTATTCGGGTCCGCCTTTGATAAAATGATATTGGACCATCAGTTGACACCCACCACCACTCCATTGTACGGATTTACCGGAGATAGCATTACTCCGAGAGGAAAGATAACACTGGAATTGGAGATGGGAGAATCTCCTCAAACTACGATGAACTTTATGGAGTTCCTCGTAGTCGACAGTCGGTCGGCTTACCACGGAGTCTTGGGCAGACCGGCCCTAAAGGAATTGGGAGTAGTCACCTCCATCCACCACCTATGCATGAAATTCCCAACAGAAAATGGGGTGGCAACGGTGAGAGGCGACCAGAGAGGTTCGCGAGAGTGCTATCTGAGCTCCATTAAGAAGGTGGAGCCCCGAGACGTCCATGTGATCGTGGCTGATGTGGTTATGACGGATGTCCCAGGTGACGCTCCCACTGACCAGGAAGATGTTGATATGATTGACGCACTCCTCGTTCAGGAGGCGCTGATCGATGAGCTCGACCTCCGCATAATGGAACATGAGCCCCAAGCATCCCCCGTAGAGGAACTTGAGAGCTTCTCAGCCGACCCTCGAGATCCGTCCAAGGTGCTGAAAGTAGGCAGGGGCTTATCTGACATTTTGAGAGAAAAGATTAAGGATTTCCTAGGCAAGAACCTGGACGTCTTCGCCTGGAGACATGAGGACATGGTTGGCATAGACCCCAAAGTCAGCTGTCACCACTTGAAAATCGACCCTAATTTTACCCCGCATAGACAAAAAAGGAGAGCCCTCAACCCAGAGAGGTATGAGGCCCTGAAGGAAGCGGTTCAGAAGCTAATCCAAAATGGCTTCATCAGGGAGGCCACCTACCCGAAGTGGGTGTCCAACCCGGTCTTGGTTAAGAAACCCAATGGCAAATGGCGAGTGTGCATCGACTTCACCAACCTTAATAGAGCTTGCCCGAAAGACAGCTTTCCGCTTCCAAGGATTGACCAATTGGTGGACTCCACGGCTGGGCACGAGTTATTGAGTTTCATGGATGCATACTCCGGATACAACTAGATCCCCATGCATCCGGCTGATGAGGAGCACACCTCTTTCATCACGAATCGAGACCTCTATTGCTATAGAATGATGCCTTTCGGGTTGAAGAACGCCGGAGCAACTTACCAAAGACTCGTGAACAAAATGTTCACCGACCTCATTGGCAAGACAATGGAGGTCTACGTGGATGATATGCTAGTGAAAAGCTTAGAGACAGAAAGCCACGTATCGCACCTCAACAACACCTTCCAAATCCTGAGAAGGTATAGGATGAGGCTCAACCCCTTGAAATGTGCCTTCGGGGTGGCTTCCGGCAAGTTCTTAGGGTACATGGTTAACCAGCGAGGAATTGAAGCAAATCCCGAAAAGATTGAGGCTCTGTGCCAGATGAGGTCCCCCCAAAAGCCAAAGGAGGTGCAAAGCTTAACTGGGCGAGTGGCAGCACTTAGTCGCTTCGTCTCCAAAGCAACTGACAAGTGCCTCCCATTTTTCAAAGTGCTCAAGGCTGGGAAGAAATTCCAATGGACTGAGGAATGCGAAGAGGCCTTCCAAGGATTAAAAAGGCACTTGGGGCCGGCCCCCCTCCTCTCCAAGTCGAAGCCAGGCGATATTTTGCAACTATATCTCGCGGTCTCCAATGACGCCATCAGTTCGGTTTTGATTCGGGAAGAAGGGTCCACCCAACTTCCCGTCTACTACACGAGTAAAGCGCTCCTATCGCCGGAGACCCGATACCCCAATATGGAGAAGCTTGCTTTGGCCTTAATCACGGCCTCCAGGAAATTGAGACCTTACTTCCAAGCTCATATCATCCATGTACTTACAAATTTTCCCCTGAAGCAAGTACTCCAGAAGCCCGATGCCTCGGGAAGATTGTTGAAATAGGCAGTGGAACTAAGCGAATTTGACCTTGTGTTCAAAGCAAGGGCGGCCATCAAAGGGCAAGCGTTAGCAGACTTTGTTGCTGAATTCGCCAACCTACCCGAGGTGGATGAAATCATGGAGCCCGTCGAACTCCCCACGTGGAGCCTCTTCGTAGATGGCTCGGCTGGGGATGTCGGCTCAGGTGCCGGGGTTGTCCTCATCAGCCCCGAGGGTCACAAACTCACCTCGGCTGTGAGGTTCGGGTTCAAAGCTACCAACAATGTTGCAGAGTATGAAGCACTCCTTGCAGGCCTCAGATTGGCCAAGGAAATGCAAGTAAAGAAGCTACTCGTCAGTAGTGATTCCCAGCTGGTTGTTAGCCAAGTCAATGGTAACTTCTCAGCCAAAGACAAAATGATGACCTCCTATCTGAAAATGGTGATGAGCCTCATCCCATCCTTTGAAAAGTTCGAGTTAATCCAGATTCCCCGCATCGAAAATGCTCATGCGGACGCACTCTCGAAGCTGGCTAGTAGCAAGGACTCGGAGCTACTCAATGTAGTGCCTATCGAGCACCTCCTACTGCCTTCTACCGAGGCCCCTAATGTCATGTGGGTCGGTGGAATTCCAACCTGGATGCAACCAATTATAGCATACCTGAAAGACCAGGTGCTACCCACCGACAAAAATGAGGCTTACAAGCTAAGAAGGAGGTCAGCCCATTTCCTCTTCATCGATGACATTCTCTAGAAGAGAAGCTTCTCCTCTCCACTCTTACGATGTGTCGGAGGGGAGGAGGCTACATACATACTAAGAGAAGTCCACGAGGGAGTGTGCGGCAACCACTCTGGAGGCCTATCTCTGGCACAAAAAATACTGAGACAAGGATACTACTGGCCTACCCTGAAACGGGATGCCCTCGAATTTGTGCGAAAATGTGATAAGTGCCAACGATTCTCTCCCGTTCAAAGACGACCATCACAGGATTTGACTGCAGTCTCCAGCCCCTGGCCTTTCTCAAAGTGGGGTGTGGACCTCATAGGCCCTCTGCCAAAGGGTAGAGGAGGCGCAAGTTTTGCAATAGTGGCCATTGATTACTTCACGAAATGGGTCGAAGCTGAACCACTGGCAAAAATCACAGAAGCAAACACCTCCAAGTTCCTATGGAAGAATATCATTTGTCGGTTCGGAATTCCCTACTCGATCGTCTCAGACAATGGCAGGCAATTCGATAACAAGAAGGTTAGAGAACTGTGTGAAGATCTTGGCATAAAGAAGCACTTCTCTACACCTCACCACCCACAAGCCAATGGCCAGGTCGAAGCCGTAAACAAGACAATCAAGCACGTCCTGAAAAGGAGGCTTGATGTGTCCAAAGGAGCTTGGGTTGATGAGCTGCCCCAAGTACTTTGGGCAATCCGAACCACCACCAGGACCCCAACCGGGGAGACCCCTTTCCTCATGGCTTTTGGGACTGAGGCGATGAGCCCCGTGGAGGTCGGACTCCTATCTCCACGACGTCTGCACTTTAGTGAAGTGACCAACGACGAGCTCCAGAGGCTAGACCTCGATTTCATTGAGGAGAGGAGGGACGACTCCCAGCTGAGGTTAGGCACCTACCAAAGGAAGATGACAAGGTACTTCAACTCCAAAGTGAAGAAGAGGTCTTTCCGAATCAACGATCTTATGCTCAGGAGGGTCTTTCCATCTTCAAAAGAACCCGGTTCCGGCTCCCTGGGACCGAACTGGGAAGGTCCATACAAGATTAGAGAAGAAATCCGACATGGAACCTATTGGATTGAAGACATGGACGACAAGGCACAACCCCGTCCATGGAACATTGAACACCTCAGAATCTTTTATCAGTGAATTGTATCATGCTGGATGACTTTCCTAGCCTTTGTAATATTTTTATGGCTCAATAAAATGCGTTGATTAAATCGCCATACTACTTCAATAACCTCGGAGGAGAGGCTCGGGACCCACCACTGGGCCACCTCGCTTGGACTCCGAGGCTCTAGCACACGCCTCCCTTTTGGCCTTGCTGAACGCCAAGGGGAGAAGCCTCAACATGGTTGCACCATCCACCATGTCTGGGATGCGTCGTAACCTCGGAGGAGAGGCTCGGGACCTACCACTGGGCCACCTCGCTTGGACTCCGAGGCTCTAGCACACGCCTCCCTTTTGGCCTTGCTGAACGCCAAGGGGAGAAGCCTCAACATGGTTGCACCATCCACCATGTCTGGGATGCGTCGTAACCTCAGAGGAGAGGCTCGGGACCTACCACTGGGCCACCTCGCTTGGACTCCGAGGCTCTAGCACATGCCTCCCTTTTGGCTTTGCTGAACGCCAAGGGGAGAAGCCTCAACATGGCTGCACCATCCACCATGTCTGGGATGCGTCGTAACCTCGGAGGAGAGGCTCGGGACCCACCTTTGGGCCACCTCGCTTGGACTCCGAGGCTCTAGCACATGCCTCCCTTTTAGCTTTGCTGAACGCTAAGGGGAGAAGCCACAACCTTAAACCCGAGGCCCCAACAGTTCATCTTCTTAAGTTATGTTCATTTTCTTAAGTCCGAGGCTCCAACAGTTCATCTCCTTAAGTTATGTTCATTTTCTTAAGTCCGAGGCTCCAACAGTTCATCTCCTTAAGTTATTTTCATTTGCTTAAGTCCGAGGCCCATACAGTTGACTGAAGTCAAAGTTATTTAGTTCGTGCGCTTATCAACTTCCAGTTCGTTTGTTTAAACGAGGCACAAAAACTTGGATAAAGAACAACAATGAATGAAGAAAAACATTATATTAATATTCAAAAGGGATTACAACAGAGGGCCTCTGGCCATTACACAAAGTACTGAAAAGGAAAACCTAATCTAAACCTGGCTGGATGAAGGAGGCACCTCAGCACTTGGGGGTTCGGCAACCTGGGCATCAGTGGTTGCTTCCCCTGCCTCAGCATTTGGGGCTTCGGCATCAGCTGCCTCGTCACCCTGCACCTCCTCAGCTGGGGTCTGAGGAACCTCATCCACAAATTCGGACCTAAGTTGTGCCAGGTCCAAGTTTGGATAAAGCTCCTCTGCCCTCTCCAGCACTTCGGCATAGGCGAAGTTCCTCCAGTACGCGCTGAAGCTTTTATACTCCTCTGTAGTGTGGAAATTGGCGATGTATGCCCTCACCGCCTCTTCCGCTGCATTCCGGGCCTCTTCTCTGGCAACCGAGGCGTCGTTCATGTACCACTTCGCCTGGCCTTCGAGAAACTGATTGGCATCACGAGCGCCGGCCAAGGCGAGATTCGCCTGCTCCAGAGCCTCGGCAGTCACCTTTTGGTGCTCATTGGAGACCTCCACCTTCTTCGTCAGGGAGGCCACCTCGCACTGAGACTCATATACTTCCCTCTTTAGGGCCTCAATTTGGGTCAGGGCAGAATCGAGCTTCGCCGCTTCTTCGACCCTCTGCACTTTGGCTTCTTCGGCCGCGGCCTTAGCAGCTTTCACCTCCTCAGCAAGGGAAGCAGCCTTCCCCTCCGAGGCGTGAGTCCTTGTTTGGAATTCACTTAATGCCTCTCTGCATTCTAGCGCGAGGCCAAAGGTCCGGGCGCTTTGGCTCACCAGTGCCCTCGTGAGGTCAGTGGCATCACAAGACGAGGCATGTAGTTGCCACCTCTCTGTCCAGAACTTGTAAAAGCTCTCGGTGGCACCTCGGATTTGCTCAGGAAGAGCCTCCACCAAAGCTGGGGCCAGCTCATCCTCCCTCCCAGCTAGGAAGTTTGGAGACTTCCCCTTCTCCCGAACTGGCTTCTCCTTCGCCGCCTCCTCTTCGGCTGCTTCAGCAGCTCGCCTGGCAGCCTCTTCCCTGGCCTCTTCAGCCTCCACCTCTCTTACCATCTCCATTTTGATGGCCTTAGAGGTTGCAGCGAGAAGCTTCGACTCTCCAGTTTGTTCTGCCCTATGGGACACTGAAGTCCCAAACGTGCCAGCTGAGCTGGAGATGTGCACCAGCTTCCTCTTCTTAGTCTCCTCAGAGACTTTCTCCTTGCCTCGAGGCTCCTTAGGCTTCTCTGGCCTCTGAGTAGATGCCTCCTCCAAGGTCCTAGGAGTGCAGTCCTTCGACAGGTGCTCAACTCTGCCTCGAACTTCCTTTGCTCCACTGGACCCGGGCTTCAGGGGCCTCGCCTTTGCAGTAGAAGTGGCCTTCAAGATAGAGGCCATGTCTGGAGCTGGGTACTCCCTCTTCTTGAATTTATCTGCACCACAGATTA